AATATAAATTAATATATTAATCAAAAAGTAATTAATAAAATATTATTAAAAAATATATATAATGTTATATAAGATTAGTAATATTTTTTTATTAGTAAAGAAAATTTTATTAAAGAGCTGCAAAGAGTATGTGGAATATTAGATGCCCTTAAATAAAAAATATGTGAAATAAAATCACAATTAAGAAGCTCAAAAGTTTTTTTTTTTTTAGATGGATCAAAATATTTTATTATAATGAGGAGTACAAGGAGTACTCTACCAAAGTCTTCATGAGACATTACAAGAGATCACTTAAGAGGACATTCAAAAAGTGAAAAACTAAATGCCTGAAAGCGTAATCTAACTTTTAGTAATTTTTTGGACACAAACTAGGAAAATTACACCAACAAAAAAAGGAAAACACAGTGTTTACATATTTCCCCCTAATCCATGCAAAGACCTCCTTTGAATTAAATCAAATGTTTTGTCCTCATCCCATTGTTGTGAATTGTGGATAATGTTGTTTCTTGTGTACCATATGGACCATGTCACCACCAAGAAGATGAAAAACCAAAGATCAGCTTTAACTAGTTTCCTTATCCCTTGGTTATGAGCTTCACAAAGAAGAGAAATTGAGTTGGGTAGGGAGATGAAAATCCCCCACCATTTGTAACATCTCATCCATCGATCTTGGATCTTCGAACATTGAACAAATAAGTGATTTTCATCCTCAACATCCCTTCTACATATGCTGCAAATGCTCTCCTCTTCTTCAAGCAGAATGCCCCTTTTTTGAAGACTTGATTTTGTTGGTAGACCATTAAGGAGAAGGTGCCAACCAAAACAACTGACTTTTGTCAGAATTAATTTATTCCATAGCCTCTTGCATATTCTTGACTCCAGAATTCTGCTTTGTCTAGCCATCATTGAGTATGTCTTGCCGACTGTGTACCCATTTGTTGCATCTAAGCTCCGGCTTCTTTGGTCCGATTGGGAGGAAAGAAAATCAAAAGTCTAAACAAATATGATAATAGAAAAGTAAATCAATAGAAATATCACTACTAAATATGAAATGTGACTCAAATTATTGAAATATCATCAATAAAACTACCATGCAAGAAGATAAATATGATTATTGTAATGAAAAAAATGACAATTGTTAATTAAATTTCACGAGCACAAAGAATAGAATAAGTGGAAATCCCCATACAGTAAGAAGACCATATAGTATCAAATGCTTTGAAAAAAGACATACAAAATAATAATTAAGATTAAGAGGCTGAATAGATAAAAAGATAGAAAAGAAATATATATTCCCATTACAATGTCTTATAAAAGACATTTAACCAAAAAACACACTTGAAGTTCTTAATTTAAACATTGCATATTTATTTATTTCATATTATTCATATAAGAAAACACAGTTTCATAATTTGGTTCAACCAAACACAAAATGTCATCAATCTTTCTCAGTCTTTATGAGCTTCTTGATTTTTGTTACAGACTGTTGAAGTAGGTTATCAGAAACTTCATCTAGACCAGCCTCAGTAAATGACCTCTTTGAACTGATATGTTCTTCATTCAGTGTATCTTCAATACAATTATCTCATGTGTGAGAAATCTCGTCCTACAATCACAAAATATTACCAACATTAAAAATTAAATACTGAAACCATAGACCATCGTGCTAACTTATAATAATAAAGAGTTGACATAATTTTTATTAAAAGGTAAAAAACTCACCCTAGCAACATATTCTTTCATTGAAATACTTGCATTCTTGTCACACGAAAAGTTTTGAATTTTAGAAGATTCTTACATGATTAAGTTATAAACAGAAATTTTAAAAAATTTGAACTTAATTTAAGAATAAAAATTTAATAAATATAAGTAAACACACATGTTTAGTTGTTTGTAAAAAGCTATCAATGATCTTTTCATAAAAAAAAATCTTTCCAACATTGTAGACACTTTCTTCAAAACTGTTAATATTGTTATGTTTGATGCTCAACCTAAAAACCATTTTCTTGTTCTTCAGAGCATCAAGCTCAACAAGATAAGTTTCTGGATCGCCACCCTTATATAATTAAAATTAATTACATTATCAAAAATATCATATAAAAGATTAAATCACATAAAAATAAATATTGAAGGTGACAGAGAAAATTACCTTTTTGAAGTGCAAGTCCCGTAAATCAGAAGTAGAAATATTAAGAAATCCCTTTGTAACAGAATAAAAAAGAACAAGAGATGTAGCATCAGTTCCATCAACTACACAGACTTGAATGCAATACCTTTATAACTCAAAAAACAATGGAATTAGTATCAAATAATTAAAATCATAACTTAAATCAAAATTTAATATTTTTTTCTATGTTTATGAAAAAATTCTATGAATTTCAAATCACAAACCTCAATCTAAGATTTGACCATCCCTTGTCACATTTTCTGCAATACCATATTCTAAAGTCTTGCTCAACACTACTTGTACAATTAAAGCAAGATTTGTAGAATAAGTTATGTGTAGATTCAATTAAAATAATCTTAGCAAGAGTCAAACAACTTATAACCTACAAATGAAAATGGAAAACACATTAAGTAGATAAAAAATAATAAAATATAATACCTATAAATAAAAATGAGAAAGACAACTTAAGAATTACTTCTCTAGACTCCTTAATTTCCATATATAGTTTTCCTTAAGGTAGAATGCAAAACTTCATCACCAAGTGATAACGTGCCAGAGCCTACCATGCTCGACTTTTCAATGGGAACCCCTTCACTAGTAGGAATCCTACAAAAAATATTTGTAGACTAAGCCAACAAACATTGAGGCCTTAATGCACAAAAAAAATCCAACAATAAAATTCATTGAAAAAATGGAAGACAAACACATAAACAAATCAACTATCAAAATCTACCTAAATAAGTTAAACTAACGTGAATTGCAAGCACAAATATAAAATGCAATAATCAAATTAATAAAATTAAGGAAAATTTGATTAACCAATTCAAACAAATTCAATACTTGCATCAAATTAAATCTTTTGACTATTGACAAGCTAGACAATAAACCATCTAAAAATCAGATTTAATGCGCAAACAAACGAATCCCTATTCCTGATAGAATTTGTGAGAAAAATTCCAAAGTTAAAGCAAGAATCCTACAAATATTAAACTTAAGTAAAAATAAAAATGTTGATGCATAACAAAAATTAAAAAAAAAAAAACTACTAAAACCAGTAAAATTACTTCTCCTTAAATGCCAAAACTTCAGAAATATCATAGTTATTTATAAAGATCCTAGTATTGAACATAATGTTGGAAATCCCCATCACACCTAAATAAACCACCAAAAAAATTGTATAAAAACTTTGAAAATAAAATCTAAAGAACATACTAAAATTGATAATTAAAAACATAGAGTAAAACCTCTCCATGATTTCATCTTAGCAAATTGAATGATGATGATAACAAATTCATTGGAGTTTTTTTCAATAATCGAACACATTTCAATAAAAAAATTTTCCCAAAAGGTGTAACAAAACTTATTACCACTGTTTGAAAGAAGGAAATAAATAAATAAATTGAAAAAAATATAATAGGAAATTAATAAAAAAACAAAAATATTCAAATGAAAAATAACTTAAATTATCAAGTTAAAATGAAATCATATTCAATGGAGAATCATTTTTCGTCACTTCTTTCCACTCAATTACCACTGACAATAACCCAATAACATCTACAAAGGAGCAAATAATTTAATGTAGAAACCAAATTAAACCAACAATTTATAATAAATATACCAACTAAAAAAACATTTTCTTGAGTTTGGTTTAAAATTTTATCAAACTCAATGAAAGAAAATGCATAATAAGGGATGCTAAAACCATTAAGCAAGCTGTGAGTAGTTCTAAGATTAAAAACAATATTTGTATTTATGTGTGGTTGGCTTATAAGGATCTTCATTCAAATAAACACCAAAATTCGAAATTGTATAAACTCCTCCTTTGGTAAAAGCATACTTAAAATGCAAAGAAGCCCTAAAGAGTTGCTTAAATCCTCCCCCCCTAACAAAACATAAAAAAGTGCTAGAAGTAAGGGATCGTATAAAGCAAACTTTAGAATATTTAATGAAAAACCAAATTCAAAAACACAGTTCTTACCTATTCATCCAAAAGAAGCATTTCAATATTATCACCTAGTTTTAGCTGTCGAAAATTCTTTTGCTTCCAACGCCTAATTACTAACCTTTATCCTCCATTGCTATTTAGAAGGATTTAGATCTTTAATAAAATCAAATATATTAGCGATTAGAATCTATATATTATTTCTCTGATACTAAAAAAAAGGGCTGGTATAGCATTATATGTATGTAGAAGAGACCCTTCAAATGACCAATATTTATTAGACAAATTATCAAAAAGAATTAGAGAAATAAAATCTGTAGAATTGGAAATAAAAATCAAAATCAACAGATGAACGTAAATTTTCAATATATTGGAAATATAAAACAATAAATAGTGGAATACATCAGATTAAATATTGGAATGCAATAGACTATAAAATAATAGGCCATATAGAAAAAATTCAATAATAAATATGAATATTTCGAATTTAATAAATAACCAAAAAACCCGTCATATGATGGTTAAAAATAATTTTTTCATGCACTACATATTTATTATTTTAATAAAATCAAACATCTTATTTATTGGGCAAATTATCAAAAAGAATTGGAAAAATAAAGTTTGCAGAATTGAAAATAGAAATAAAAATCAACAGATGAATGTAAATTTTTAATGCATTGAAAATATAAAAAATAAATAGTGGAATGCATCAGATTAAAAATTAGAACGCAATAGACTATAAATAGGCTATATAAAAAAATTCAATAATAAATATAAATATTTCAAATTTAATAAATAAATAACAAAAAAAAACCCATCATCTGATGGTAAAAAATAATTTTTTTCATGCACCACATATTTATTATTTTAATAAAAACAAACATCTTATTTATTGGACAAATTATCAAAAAGAATTGGAAAAATAAAGTCTGCAAAATTGGAAATAGAAATCAAAATCAATAGATGAATATAAATTTTCAATACATTGGAAATATAAAACAATAAATAGTGCAATACATCAGATTAAAGATTGGAATGCAATAGACTATAAATATGTTGTATAGAAAAAATTAAATAATAAATATGAATATTTTGAATTTAATAGATAAGTAACCAAAAAATCTATCATCATGGTTAAAAATAATTTTTTCATGCACCACATATTTATTATTTTAATAAATAATTGGAGTATAGGATCAGCAAATAAAACATTCAACTTTATCAAGATCCTCATCTTCAGAGAATATGCTAATTTAATTTACCTTAGGTGTCCCTTGGTAGCTATGGATGCATCTGGCTTTCTGTTCAAAAGCCTTGGACTCAAAGTATTCAAGCCAAGCGCGGCAGCATCCTGCAGCAATTCATCAAAACAATATAATTACATATTTTTAGTTTTAAGTGAAAATGATAAATTAATAATCATAAAGTTTACCATGCTCATGACACTGGTAAAAAGGGTTCTATCATATGTTATTAGAAATTAGGAGTTAAGCCGTCGATTGCTATAGGTTGAAAGTTGTAAAACCGCTATGATCTTTACTGTCAATTAAATTTCACTCTAGCATGGCACCATAAAACTCTAGGTCTAGGAATTCTCCATCTTTTGGTGCTATGAATCATCTCCACGAAGCATTCATCTAATATGTAGCTAGAGCACTAACTTGAATGCATCCAAGAAAAAGAGCATCTCATTAACCCATAGACTGAAAAATATACCTGTGTACGCAAATCATCTAGACCCAGTTTTGCTCGGAGGATTTTAAAAGTTGTTTGTTCATGTTGGACACTCAAAGGGTATGCTTCCATCAAAGACAATGCAATTGCTATAGCATGGTAACTTGCTACTGTCTGGTAAGGTTAAGAAAAGAAGGAATTTTTTTTCAAAAGGTTTTTTAGACAAAAAGAGCAATTTTGAAGGATATTTAATAATATCATAAGATGACATTCAGTGATCAGCAGAAAAATAAAGAACCAAACCTGAATATGATCTAGACCAAGTAATTTTTGGTTACATTTCAGAGCTTTGTGAAGATATCTAAGGGCAATATGCACATTGCCCATGCCTTCCTCCATCATAGCAAAGTTAATGTACATTGCAGCAGTATTCGGATGAGATGGACCACATGTAAGATGTAAAAGATACAGAGCACAATTTACATATCTGTAAACAACAATGGATGTCTACTTTGTAAAGTCAGTGGAAAGATTAATACTATGTAAATGTAACTACAGTAATCTCCAAAACTATTTCTTTAGAAACTTTACAAAAAGCAGAAAACAAAAGATTGGGTGCTAAAAGTTAAACCTAGAAGGAGAAAAACTTTGGTTTTAGCATCATGCAAAAATAATTAGAAACATGATTTTTAATAAGAAATTAGATTCAGTAACAATTAGATTTTTTTTTTCAATTCAACACGTAAACATAAACATAAGTTTATGAATTTTTTTTAATAAGAATTTAGGAAAATGGATCATATAAATGAATTGAATTAAATTGATTGAGTGAATAAAAAAAAAATTAGGTGTAATGTGAAAAGGAGATGCAAATGCCTGTAGGGAACAAAGAAGTTTGAGAACTCAAATGTCGAAACTCATTTAAAACAAACTGGTTAATCAGGCATAGTGATGTAATAGATATTACCTCAATTATCTCAAAAACATCAATATTATCGAGTTCAAGCCCTGCAGCTTTAACTGCAGCTGGAATTGCAATAGTTGGGCCAACACCCATGATGGCAGGATCCACATCAACTGCAGAAAAGTGTCCTGCAAGATCAAGTAGTAAGAGATATCTCAATTTACCAATAGTTGACTAACTGGATGATTGACTTTATAATCTATTCAGCTCACTCAATAATATTTTGCTTGCTTGAAGTTTATCCAATATATTTATAATCTAGGAAGTGCATGTCTTCAATGCAATTTAACCGCTTAATCTAGTCACTATTCATATTTTTTCATGTAAAGCAACAACACTTAAATAAAACCAACTTTTTGTGCATGTTCTAGTAACGATAAGAACTCCGCTTAACTTCCAGAATTGGTAAATGCAAATCCTATTTTACAATGTTGATGGGCATTGATCAAAGCTATCTTACTAAGATTGTCCAAGAAATTTAATTGCTCAATATGAAGCAGAAGTAGAAAAATACTAATCAAGGGGACGAGCATAACAACATGGAATTGATCAACAGAGCCAAAGCCTAAAAAAAAAAAAAATGGTATAAGTTACCTGTAGTATGACATTCAAGTAAATACCATATAATCAAGAAAGAAACTTGATAACATAAGTTTGTTTATAATGGATGGCAGTAATATAAGGATGACTAAATTCAAGAAAATGAGTTACAGACCTTGATATGTGCCTGTTATGTTTGATGCAAAAAGAGGACCTAACTCCTTTCCATCTTTTCTGACAAATAGCTGCTACAAGATGCATTGATAGAAAGAGAAAAGACATAATGTTAGGTTCAACCATATTCATGACTCAGAAATCAAACTTAGTTCAGAAAACATTAAATCTACGTGCTATGAAATAGCAAAAGAAAATGTGAAAAAATAGATTTTAATGCCACAATAACAATAGAACTAAATGTGTACTTCTCTTTTGGTATTAATAGAACTTAGATCCATTTTGTTTTTCCTACTACTACTACCACTCAAGGGAGGGATAATAAAAAAACACCATAATCTCATGTTTGAGCCCTCTCTTTGATTGGTCGCAATCCCAAAATGGGCTTCAAAAGTAGAAGAGACAACCATAACCCAAGCAAGAGCCTAAACACAAACAACCCCAATCTCCTCCTTTTTTAAATCCGCAACAAATCCAAATCTTTCTTGGGTTCAGATTGGTCTTTTCGATCAATGCTTGCAACCAGAAATCAGCATCAACACAAGAAAAGAACAGAAAAAGGGAAAAACAGCAAAGCAATGATCAAGAAAAAAGAAAAAAAGAAAAAAAGAGGGCTGCAGTGGTTTGTTAGATCCGGCATGCAAGTCGTCCGACAGCCATGGGAGGGATTCGGCAGCATTGAAGGAGAGAAAATGATGAAGATCGACGCTTCATGATTTTTTAAAATTGAATATGAAACAGGGCCTGCACTTATTTCATTCAAATAAAAATATAACCTTGCTTTTGTGGTAAAAATGGCAGCATTTGATTGAATCTCACCTTTTGCTGATCTCTCTCTTGCGTTTCTTTTCAAGGTTTGATCAGTTTGTTTCTATTTTCCTTTTTCAAACAAACTCTATCACTAAACCACGTCTCTAGCTGTGAGTCTATAGTACCTAAAACAAAACAAGGTAAGGGAATTAAAAATTGTATATATATATATATATTAAATAAAGAAAAAAAAGTATCTAATTAGTGGGTACTTCATGTCCGAGAAATAGTCCCTATTAATTTAGTTGTTTAACAATTTTCTGTTTTGATTAATTTTGTTGTAGTCACCTTTTTTTTTTTTGAAAAGCAAAAAGAAATTTATTATGTGAGTACAAGGAGTACTTAAACCCATTGACATCAATATACAAAGTTACATCCAGGAAGTGGGTCAAACAAAAAGATCACAAGGTATTCCCAAAATAGGAAACCTGGAATTCAACTCCCCATCTACACTCTACTTCCTATTTTTCAAGCAACTCACTGGGTTGGTAATCCATTCTATGAGAGAAATTTTCTAATTTCAACAGAGTTCTAACCCAATGAAATGAGCGGGTTCGTACAAGTTCAAATAGCTTGTCCTCATTAACCTTCTTGTGTTGAAAGGCTGTTTCATTTCTACTCAACCACAATGACCATACTATTGTGAACCATAACATATTCTAGCCTTTTTTCATAATTTTTGAGCCCTTATGCCAACTGTGCTCATTGAAAACATTAAGACAAGTATTCCCAAGAACGTAACATAATCCCCACCAATTTAGACATTTAGACCATAATTTGAATGAGATATTGCATGACACAAAAAGATGATCTATATGTTTAGGGAACTGATCACACCAAAAACATTTTATACCTTGGTTGACATCCATAATGCCCCGCTTTGCCAAGTTGACCTTTGTGGGAATTCTGTCAAGAAGCATTTGCCATGAAAAAGCACTCACTTTTGAGGGGACTTGCGCACTCCATATATTTCTGTACTCCAACAGTGTACTTTCCTCTTTCTTTGCCAACTGCTCGTAAGCTGACCTTGTGGTGTATTTTCCTTCATTGTCAGGCCTCCATCTCCAGGTGTCTTTCACATTTTGCGCTAGTTTTATGTGATTTATGGTCCCAATCAATTATTGTAGTTTTTCCTCCTCCCATTCTCTAATTGATCTTCTCCATTGGAATCTCTAGCACCAGCATCCATTAGACCAATGACCTCGATCATAGATGCTGCAGTTTTTGTCTGTGTCCAACAAAAACAGTCTCGGAAAAACATTAGCTAAAGAATCCTCACCCACCCATACATCTAACCAGAACCTAACACTCTTCCCATCCCCTAATTTTAATTTGAAATTTGAGAGCAACCACTCATCCTTATTACCTAATCCTGTATTCAATTTGCAAATATCATTCCACCATGGTGATCCTATTCCCCTACCCTCTTTCATCCATGATAACCAATTTCCTCCCTTGCCACCATATTTTTCTAACAGCACCCTAGACCACAAACCCTTATCTCCCCCTATTAATCTCCTTCACCATTTCCCGAGCAATGCCCTATTGAACGATGTAAGATTTTTTACCCCTAAACCTCCCTCTTTTTTTCCGCAACAGACCCTGTCCCAAGCTACCCAAGCTATCTTTCTACCTTCCCCAACTCCTCCCCATAAGAAATTTCTCCTAATTTTATCAAGCTCACAAATTACCTGTTTAGGGAGAAGGTATAACGACATCAGGAACACTGGCAGGCTGGACAACACAGAGTTTATGAGGGTGATTCTTCCGCCAAGAGACAAGAATTTTCCTTTCCAAACTGAGAGTTTTCTTCTAAAAGTTTCGATTAGGGGTTTCCATGTATCTATTCTCCTTGGATTTGCTCCCAATGGCATGCCCAGGTATTTGTAAGGAAGGGAGGCAGTTTTACAATTCAGCAACCATGCCATTTTTCTAGTCCATTCTTCATCAATATTGACTCCAATTAAAGAGCTTTTTCTGTAATTTACCTTCAGACTTGACACCAATTCAAATGCCCTCATGATGCATTTAATCATCCATATGTTGTCTTCGGTTACCTCTCCCATAAAGATTGTGTCATCTGCAAATTGTAGATGGCTGATCTCTAACTCCCCATCTCCTATTTTTACTCCATAAAGATAACCCTTTGCTACTGCTGCCGAAGTTAGTCCATTTAGAGCTTCTGCCACCATTAAGAACAAAAATGGAGATAGTGGATCTCCTTGTCGAAGCCCTCTTGACATCGAGAACTCTTTGGTAGCACTTCCATTAACTAACACGGACACAGTATTTGATCTTAAACATTCAGCAATCCACTCCCGCCATACTTTGTCGAAACCCATTTTCTCCATCATGTAGTCCAGAAAAGACCAGCTCACCTTATCATATGCCTTTTCGAAATCAATCTTGAATACAAAACACTGGGACTTCCTCTTCCTCACCTCATCAATTGCCCTCATTTGCAACAACAACACTGTCAACCAGTTGTCTTCCTTCAATGAAAGCAGATTGATTCTCCCCTATAATTGTGTTTAATACTCTACTGAGTCTGTTTGCTAACACTTTGGCAAGAATCTTATACATGCAGCCAATTAAGGAAATGGGTCTATACTCTTCAATGCCTTGAGGATTCTCTCTCTTTGGTATCAAAACCAGGAAAGAAGCATTAGAACCCCTTACCATCCTTCCATTTGTGTGAAAATCCATGACGTAGTCCATGATATCTGCTTTAATCACCTTCCATTCATTTTTTATAAAGCCGAAAGTAAAACCATCCGAACTCGGTGCTTTGGTGCTGTCACAATTCCATACTACAACTTTTAACTCTTCTTCTGTAAAAGGTTCAATGAGCATGCCTCTGTCTTTCTCTGAAATAGATTTGAAGCTCAGCCCCTCTAAAGTCGGTCTTTGCCATCCCTTATCAGTGAATAAGTTTGCAAAATACTTCATAAGACCCTGCTTTATGTCTTCAACTTGTCTCAGCTCTTTGCCTTCTACAGAAATTACATTTATTTTGTTTCTACGCCATTTCCCTCTAATGCATTTGTGGAAAAAACTGGTGTTAGCATCTCCTGTTTTCAACCAAGTTTTCCGTGCTTTCTGTTGAGCCATCTCTTCTTTCAACTACACATTCTTTAACAACTCAGTGTAGTGAGAGCTCCTGAAAATAATATCTTCATTTGACAAGTTGCTTGTTTCTCCTTTGCCATCAACTCTGTTTATCTCCTCCCTGGACTGCTCAATTTTTTTGTCCACTTCCTGTATATTGGACTTTGATCACACTCGGAGAAAATCCTTTGTCATCTTTAGTTTCTCCTTTAAAATGAATCCTCCCCAGCCTTGAATTTCTAACTCCTTCCATTTTGCTGTAACCATATTTGTGAACCCCGGGGTATATAGCCAAGCATTGAAGAATTTGAATGGTTTTGGTCCCCAATTCCTTACCTCATTTTTTACCAATATCGGACAATGATCTGACAGAGATCTTTAAAGTCCCCACTGTTTTAGATCAGGCCATTTCAATAGCCATTCATCATTGAATAAGAACCTATCTAGGTGACTCATGCATCGGCCATTTTGTTGGTACCATGTATACTTCCTTCCCAACAGAGGTAGATCCAGCAAGCCATTCTTCACAATAAACTCTTCAAAACCCTTTATGTCTCTCCTCACGCTCTTACCCCCTTTTCTTTCCTGAGAACTTTTGATGGCATTAAAATCACCCCCTAAACACCAGCACCCCGTGTAATTTCTTATCAACTGTTCAAGATCTTTCCACATAATTTTCTTTTTTATCACGTCACATGGAGAGTACACATTACACAAAAAACATGGATACTCATTTGGGCCCCATAACCCATGGATTCCTATAAACCCCTCCCCTTCAAAGACATCCATCTTCTTGATTATTTCACTATTCCAGATGATAATTAATCCTCCTGAGGCTCCTGCAACAGATTTTGCCACCCATTCCATGTTATTTGAATCCCAGATTTTGCTGTAGTCACTTGATACTTTTTTTTAAAAATTTTATATTAAAAAATTAATTAAAATTAAAGATACTTTATTAATTGACACATATGCCAAACAAATCATGCTGTTTTCTCCTATCATTAAT